TTTCTTCCTGCAGTTACCGACCTGTCTTGAAGAAATACAATGGAAACATAATAAAGAAGTATTTAAAAATCAAAACTACAGGTGGGAGAGTTTCTAAACAGATACCGAGCATGACAGCTTTCCTCGCTGCATCCAGGATCAGTAGAAATAAGAGGTTAAAACACTGCATTTCCACTGGACTCATGGTGTTAACACAATTTTAGTGCTCAACCTGCTCTAACTCCAACATCATGTGTAGAACTATTTTAGCTGGCTAATGATGGGATGGAAATGAATCCTAACTTTTCCTAGACAGACAACCAGCACCACAAAGCAAAGGATAAAAGATACAAACATCACCTGATGTGAAAACCTCAACTTGCTATGATACCCATGCCAGACTTTGCCTGGCAACCAGAATCCACTCAGACAAGGCGCTGGGGAGTCAGGGCTGGTCACACGCATAGTCACCAGAAGAATTTTTTGGGATAGGGCAAGAGGCGAACATAATTCACTACCAGATTTAAGGAAACTTAGTCACACAGTAATGTGGATAAGTGACTAGATGGATTGTCAAAACAGAAAGAGCTCTTAGCATGATTCCTCTCTTTTCAAAAGCACCTTGCATAAGTGGACTTACAACTCCACTTCACTGACTGGGAGTGAAATTTAAGCTTAAAATCCCTGAAAACATGACTCAGTCCAATAAGATGATAAATCAATGAGGTGAAGAACATCCATTCATTTATGTAATTATTTATCCCATGACCTAAGACAAAATGTAATTTAAGTTGGTCAAAACCATAGGGAGAGTTAAGCACCTAAGGGAATATTTAAGTAATTTTTTTTTTTAAAGGTTTTGGATCAAACCACGCTGAAATTGGAAATTTTCAAAACTCCTCACAAATCAAGAGTTCCCCAGCCAGAAGGCCCCTTCTTTCCCTGCTTGTGCCCACTGGTGGTGTGGGTTTCACTGGACACTTGCAATGTGCAGGCTTGGAAGAAACTCCCCGGCAGGACTGCTGAACAGAAGTCTCTGAGCTTCCTTGGTGCTCTGCTTCAAGCCAGCTTCCCCGGGTAAATTGCCCAACAGCTGGAAACCTCAAGTTTCCAGATCCACTCAGCTATTTTGCCCAGAAAAATGGGATCTCAGATCACCTACTCAGTAAGATCTTGCTGTTTTGGAGACTGTCCATGAAGAAACTTGGAGCTGCACTTTGGACTCTGCAAAACTTCAGAGCGTGAAACACCTTCCTCTCAGTGACCTCAGTTTCATGGGAAATATACCAACCAACTCCAATGACACTACTTGCAGATACATCTCGAGATCACATGAGGAAAAAAACCATAGTAAAAAGGAAGAGAGGATGCTTAGAAGAGTCTTGCAGCTGTGAGACATCAAGTACTTATTGTTGTGTAACAGGAAAATTCTCCAGTGCCATGAAGAGCACAAAGATGCTGTTTATATTCGCTGCCTGGTTTCAGCAAGCTATTTTGTACTAAATTTCCCTGCTGATCCAGCTGCATTGCGATAGCAGGTGTCTGCTAACATCAATCATATGTTATTGCATTTTTCCTTTCCACCTTCAGGTGTAAGAGAGACAATGCATCACTGTACAATAGGAGAGGAAGAAGACACTGCCTAATTTCCCATAGGATGCAATATTTATCCTGTAAGTGCGGATTAACTGAATAACTTGCTAGCTTTGTGTCAAGGCTTGTAAGGAGTGGTGACTAATCCTAGCTAGTGGGGATTAGCAATGTTTGCTGTGGGAAATGTGCCAGACTTTTCAATTATATCATGTCTTACAAACAGACTGTAATAGTTCTACATGAATACAACTGTGTTCTTGCCACAGCACAGTGATAACGGGGTACGTCCTTTCTATTTTTTAATGCCACAGACTAGAGCAAGCTCCAGCAAGAACATCACATGGACGGAGAGCAGTACCAGAGCCTGTTCTTCTCTTAGAGTAGGGCAAAAGGAGGAGAAGGATTGGGTGCACATTTAGGAAGTCCTGAAGTTACACCTTAAGAAGCTATGGTTGAGTGTGCATCACCTGTGCTACCCTCATAGGTCGACACACGCACACTCGCACACTTTCCAGAAGGAGGGAGCACCAGAAGGTCATGCACAGCAGCCTTGAGAAGTAGCGTTGAAGACTCGGGCTCCAAGCAGCACACAAGGCCACTTTCACTGTTGTGGAAGATCATGTGACTAGGGCTCTCATCATCATTAAGGAAAAATCAGAAAGAGGTGAAAACTGCTAAGGAAGAGTGTGACCACTCCAGCTGGTGCAAAAACCATCAGCAGCTCAATCTAGACTTAGTTACAAGAACATAATTAAAAGCAAATGCAATATCATAGTTCATTAGTTCACCGCTTAGGTGCTAGGCTTCCTATGGGACCCAACATCTACTACAGCTGCAAAGCCAAGCGCTGGCATATAAGTCCGCATTTTCAAGCCTGTGCCCTTTAGACGAGTCAGGTCTTGAACTGAGCTGCTGACCCATGAGACAGCTACAGATGGCCCTCTCCATAAGAGGACTTCGCTTTAAACCAACTAGTTCAAGTTAAGGACAATCAGTCTGAGCAGGACAGCTGGGGTGCTGGTCACCTCAGAGAGGATGCACTGAAAGCACAAAGACCAGGGTGGTAACTGTGGTGAGCAGCACTGCTAGGACTAAAACAGAACTTCAAGAGCTTTCTGGTGTTGTTCCACTCACTTTTTATGGTCAGCCGCAATATTGGGGCAAATATAACTAGTATGTAGTAAGCAATCCCAGAGGTCCTTGCAAGAAACCTTTCCTACGTGTCCTTTTCCAAGCAGCTGCACAAGATAGCTAGAGTTGCAGAACACAGTTACAGATGGCTTTGGACACCTGGCTTTCAAGACATACTACTCAGTACCACAACCTAAACAGCTTCTGTATTCTTTGCCCTGCTCTTGACCCACGTACAGTTAAATTCACTATGCTAGTAGCTAGAGGGCAACAAGACACTGACAGGACATGGTCTACAACAGGAATCCAGGTGCCAAAATACTTCTCCCCAAAGCAGCCTCTCACCCCGAAACACAGACTGTGGCACCTGCAGACTCCATTCCAGCTAAAGGAGAGTTACTGCAGGGACTGCAAGTGCTGCAGCAAACCAAGAGCTCCAGCTGGGAAGCGCAAGCATCCTGCTGTGTTCTCACCCAGAAACCCTTCCCCATGTAACTGTGTTGTGCAGAGGTGCATCTCAATCAGCTTTTCATTTCATTGCCTCAGCATGATAGGAAGACACAAGACTCCTTACAGTACAGGAAGGACATCTGTGATACAGTACTCAAAGCAGGTTGGAGTGACAGGGCCCCTCTTGACCACTCCGGCTCATTTCCACAGACCCACAGCCAGCCCAAGCGCTTGACTCAACACCAGTTTGGAGCTTACATTTGGTCTCAAAGACCAAAATAAACACAAAAATAAAACAAACCACAGAGGCTCAACTTGTGAATATTGCTTTCACCTAGCACCAGCAAGGCTGGGCAAAAAAGCAGAAGCCTGAGGTGGGAATAAGGCAGGAGCAATTGTAGGGGGGTGGACAAGGATAGGGAGACCAGAGGTGGGTTGGCTTGGGGTAGGGAGGAAGGTGGTGACAGCGAGACCTACTCCAAAAACATTGGGCTTTGTGCTTCAGATCCTTCAGTAAAACGTGGAACAGGAAACCTACTGTCAACCTGAAAGAAAGCTTCGGTTATCTCCAAGCTGCTGCAAAGAGAGCTGCTCCCACAGCGTTTGGAAGTCCTGTCTCCACCTGTCCTCTCCTGCCTTCATTGTGCTGAGCATTATGTTTAATGAATTACGTGCCAACCTCCCTCCTTGATTTATTTGCCAAAAAAAGATTTGCATGGGGTGGCAATTAAAGAGGTAGAATGCGATATCCATCAGTTTGTATGCCTCTGAACTCGACCACATCCTGGTATAGCAACTCCTCACAGGTGTTCAGATACTGTGGTAATGGGTGTTTGTACAAAAAATACAACACAACAATTACAGCAACACCCAGTGAAGGAGAAGTTGCCTTTCTGCACCACAGAGATGGGCTCCACAGCTGTGCCCAGGAGACCGATAGGAAAACGAGTCATGTACTAATTTCCCCAAAACACGCTTTTATGAATAAGCTCATTAACTCTATTACCAGGCACTGTTTCCAACTTGCCGTGGGACAGAGACTACCAACAGCACGGACATTAAGCTGTACATCTGAGGGTCCCAAGCCCAGATGCCTTCAAAATGGACAAGCATCAGGAGTTGGACCGAAGTCCCACACTATTCCAGCTAGCTACACATGGCTAGTAAAGGCCACATACATGGCTGAGTCAGTTGTCTGTTCCCTTTTTCCCTGCAACTTTGCCTACCTCCCAAAAAACTATATTGGCATACACAAGGTGAGAAGAGGACATGGGAGCCACAAACACAACTCTCCCTAAAACTACAAGAAGCCTTACAGCAAAGCTTTTCCTCTACTAGTGCCCACAGAGCATCTGTCCCAAGACTCTTCCACTCCATGCCCAGACAATTCCACAGTCTCACAGGGAGCTGGACACCTCTAACAGAAGAGATGATATCTACAGCGTGCCATAAGGAGGGAGCAGGAGAGACAAGCGATGCTGCCCACGTGTAGTCTAGGCCTTTGCAATAACAAGGGATATGCCAAATGAAAATGGAGCTAAAGCAACTTCTGCCTAAGCCTTGCAGCAGACCGGCTTTTTCTTCTGGCCCTCCGTCAGGATGGCTCACAAACTCATCCCAGTCGTATCTACCTCCAGAGATCCATTCTGACCTCCAGGAGAGGCATGCCTGCCCTCACCTCCACTAAGTAATCCATCCCTCCTAACCATTTCCCACAGTATTTAGTATCTGATGACAGTTTGGGATGTTCCTTACAAGCAGCCCCATCCACTCACCACGAGAGTCTGCAAACCTATTGTCCAGTTCTTGCATCCTGGTGCACTCCTAACACCACAGAAACAACTACCATGATCACCATGCTCTTCACTGGACTTGTAAGCAACAAGTGACTTATGCAGTCTCCTACAAAGGTAAGGCTTTTGTGGACCTGAATTACAAACTTTCCCTGGGACTCTGCTGGACTTCACAAAATGCACATTTATTACACTATCAAAAGCAAGAGGTGAGAGAAGAAAGAGAAGGTTCCTCAGAGAAAGGGGAAGAAAGAACATGGGCTGGGCAGTTCCATTCCCCAGTTTTTTGATCAACCTTCAGAGATTTCAGTCAAATGCAGGATTGTAATGATAACGTTACAGTGGATAATATTTTACAGATATAAATTGCACACACCAGGTACTCAGTGTGCATACTACATAAAAATATTTTAAATAGTTTTGTACTAAAACCCATACTCTCCTGGAAGCAAGTAAAAAAGTACATACTCGTATTCTTTGTTTACCTCACTTCCTTACGTAAGGTTCATATTTTCTTCTAATACAATGGTCAGAGTTGTGAAATACAAATAGTTTCTCTTTTTACTCTTCATCATTACGCACAATATTGACTGCTCCCACTCATTAAGATTAGCTATATTTTGTAAACAGCAAATGCACTTTAACAGTACAGATTTTTTCCAAGGCTTTCTCAATTCTGCTGACGTAAAACTTCTCATTGATCTATTAAAATTGCTCTTTTGTCTAAGTACCTTCTAAAAGGCTGTATTCTTTTTCATGGCAACGACTATGGTCTTTAACCTGTACTTTTCACCACTGTTACAAAACTGTCTCCTTCCCCCAGACCTACTACACCACATTTTTGACCAAGTTACAGTTTCATTTGAGAATATTTGACTTGTGATGACCCAAACATTCTGGAAAACACTCCCTAAACTTTGTCTCTTTTCTCATTTTCCAGGCTTGATGCTCTAACCATTCTGGCACTTCTTGTCCAGAGAGATAAAAGCTGTACAATTTGTGAACCTTCCTAATGGGTTGGTTTCACACTTGCCTTTAGATTAACATTTTAGCAATGTCAGATATAATTTACAAATCTAGTCCTGTACAGTATAAACATTATCTAAAAGTATTTTTGTAAAAACCCTGTATGAAATGCCTGTATCTTTCAGGTTCTCAATATACGCTTGACTTCTCTAAGTACTAATTTTGGGTATGTCTTAGTACAGGACCTCATTGCTGCTTCTGTTCAGCCACAATCATCATCATCACTGGAGTGTTCAGCTTCTCAAGCAAGAATTGAATGTGCTTTTTTTGGCACTAGAATGGTTAACAGCTGACATAGTACTTTTACCTTAGCTATGTCAATTATTATGTCAATATTTCAACTCTTCCACTGGCTTGGGAGCTTAGTGTTGCTTTTGTTGCTTATCCACTCTAAAGTTCTAATTTCTGTTGAGCAACACACACCACCACCACTCTCCCATTATGTTCAGCTGTTTAATAAACCATTTCCACTTATATTGTACATGTAATCTATGCCAGAAGCATTAGCTGTAGATTTTACAGCTGTTACTTAGCTGGTATAAATATCATCACTCAGTCTTAACTACCGAATTTTTGCAAAATACCTTTAGTGTCAATGATTACACTCTTTAAAATATAAACCAGTCAGTGTTTGTACAGCATTCTTTCATTTGAAGAGAGATTTAATAGATTTTCTTGGACTACAGATGCTTTGGAGAAAGTAGTCTTTGAAATCTAGCCTGTCCAACTTGACTGTTTCTTAATGGCAACAAAGAACAGGTTGTTTCAACTGAGACTACTAAGAATGTAGTTGCTCCCTTCAGCATTGCTTTGATAAGCAGATGGCCTGTGGTCATTTCTTTGATGTGGAGCATACAATGGTTGGAAATGGAGCTGGTTCAATGCAAGCACTGCCTTCTTGTCCATGTCCATGGCAAAAATGAGTTAGATGCAACAGATCGGCCCCGACTCCTGTCTTGTGCTAGGAAGTGGCACCTTTAGAGCAGGAAATGTCAGGAAAAGGATTCTTTGTATTGGAGATGATGCTTCTTCATTGTATTAACACGTTAAAAAGGTATAAGATGATGCTGATCCTGTCACATCTTTACCTAATAGTCTTCCTTCACTCTTTCATTCTGATTCAGTTTTGGGCCCCTCACTACAAGGAGGACATCGAGGTGCTGGAGCACATCCAAAGAAGAGCACCGAAGCTGTTGAAGGGTCTGGAGAACAAGTCTTATGAAGAGCATCTGAGGGAGCTGGGGTTGTTTAGCCTGGAGAAAAGGAGGCTCAAAGGAGACCTTATCGCTCTCTACAACTACCTGAAAGGAGGTTGTAGCAAGGTGGGGGTCGGTCTCTTCTCCCTACTAACAAGTGATAGGACAAGAGGAAACGGCCTCAGGTTGAGCCTGGGAACGTTTAGATTGCGTATTAGGAACAATTTCTTCACCAAAAACATTGTCAAGCACTGGAACAGGCTGCCCAGGGAAGTGGTTGAGTCCCCATCCCTGGAGGGATTTCAAAGATGTATAGATGTGGCACTTAGGGACATGGTTAAGTGGTGGACTTGGCAGTGCTAGGTTAAGGGTTGGACTTGATGATCTTAAAGGTCTTTTCCAAATTAAATGATCCTATAATTCTATCGTCTTTTAAGATAAGGTTTTCTTCCTGCTGTTTTCTTCAATATTTTAATACCACTTGAAAAAGCTGAGGATTGGATAACTGCCCCTCCTCCTTTTGTCCAACACTTTACCTGTGCTTTGGACCACCTTCTCCTATACCTAGTGAAGGTTTCTTCCTACATACCTGCAGCTGCTCTTTCTGTTTGGATCACTGCACAGGTTAGGTACCTAAAATACCTTGGACGTTTCCTTACAGACACGATCTCATTGAAATGACAACAAAGAGCATAAGGACATTTCTGCAGGTGTCAGAGGTGCCCAGCTGGAAAACTTCCCAAATAGGGGACTGGGATGCCCAACGCTGCAGCTGTCACCACTCCTCCCTGTGGACCCACTCCTGGATGCAGCCGGACACAGCACAAACTTCCCAAATAGGGGACTGGGATGCCCAACGCTGCAGCTGTCACCACTCCTCCCTGTGGACCCACTCCTGGATGCAGCCGGACACAGCACGGTCCTCTCATTGCCTACAGCCGTTCAACACAGCTTTATTGACTTCTGGGCTCTGGAGTCCCACCACCAGTGGCTCCAGGAGTGAAAAGCAACAAGTGCTCTTCAGCAATGTCTCCTCTGGCTGCTCCCTTCTGCCAGGGCACCATTGTCAGACATCACCGTGACGTCACGCTCCGATGTCACCACTATGCAGCACAGGCATCACAGCGGCATGTCAGAATATCCCATTGCTGCCCACCGTCAGCCGGCGCCATTTGGCCTTTGCTTGCTGACTGGCAGGACCAGGCCTGGCTGTGCAGGGCGATGGCAAGCGAGGGAAGCTTCGGTCCAGCAGGGACAAAAGAAACGAAAAGGGAGCCGTCTCCTGCAGAAACACCATCGCTTTCTGCTCTGGACGAGCTGGGGCAGTAGGCAGACGTGGCTTCTCCTGGCTTTCCAGGACGGTGGGGAAGAGCACCCTGTGATGCTGCCGCACGCGCGGGAAAGGAGGAGTGGGCTGTCCAGCCTGGCAGTGACGGGCACGGGACCAAACGAGTCCCTCCTGTTTCCAACAAGCGCACAGGCAAAGCCAATGGATTCTCATCCCTCTGCTTTCCACAGAGGCTTTGGAGAATGGTGGAGAGCGACCAGTTTCGGTCCATTTGGTGGAGCGAGGGTGGAAAATGCGTGGCCATCAACGAAGAACTCTTCAAAGAGGAGGTGCTGGGCAGGGGAGGACCTCTGCGGGTTTTTGCCACGCAGAGCATGAAGAGTTTCCTCCGGCAGATGAACCTCTACGGATTCACCAAAACGCAGCAGGATTTCCAACGATCTGCCTCCCTGCCTGAATTCCTGGCAGAAGAAGCAGCAGCTTCTGCTCACAGCCAGGTACAGCAGTTGCTCCGCACATCAGCTAACGCTCACAATAGTCTTGGGGGAGAGAGGGACCTTCACATCAGATAAGGGCTTGAAACATGGGAGGTGAGGATGGTAGCCAGCGGTCTGGTTTTAATTTCCTTCTCAGGCCGTTTTCAGGAAGGTTTCAGTTAGTCTTTCTGATGAGTAGGAACGCAGCTAAAATACAGCTCGGTTATATCCACTGAGTTTGAACCCGTTAAGTGGAAAGACAGACTCAGCGTAGCCTGATTTCTTGGAACGCCTTTGCTACGTGTCTTGCTGTACCAAATCTGAAACCTCCTCTGCGGCACCTGCTGAATGCTGAGAAGATACATCTAAGGACCAGAGTATTACCTGCCTGCTCATAGCCACACTGAAGCTGCTGAAAAGTCGTGGTGTTTGGCTTTCAAAAGCAGCTCCTATGCTTTTGGAAATCCTACACTGCTGTGCTCCCAGATGGCAAAAACCCGGGGGTGACGATGACTGAACAGAACCGTCCTGTAACATTTTAGCCTGAGCTTTAGGTTTCAAAGGCCCCTGAGAGTCCTTTTCAATAGCCATGCTTGCCTTTTGCAATTCAGAGTCTTAGTTCTCCCCCCCCCAGGCGTTGGCCCGCACCCCCCCCCACCCCCGGCAGCGCCCATCCATCTCCACCGGCAGCTGCTCCCACGCTTCCAGCACCTGCCGGAGCAGCAGGCAGCCAGAGCTTCACCCCTCTGGCCCTCTTCCTTCTACCACCACCCAGCAGCCAAACCCCAGAGGGCCTCCAGCGTGCTGCTCATGCTCCTCCACGGTTTGTAGTGCCCGTGCTGGCAGCAGCCTCAGCTCTGCCGAGGCCAAGGCCACCCCACAGCCAAAGCCCAACAGTCCCCCACTGCCCCACCTGCACCCCCAACCCTGCAGATGCAGGCAATGCCGTTGGATCCCAGTGTGGCACATTCTAGAGAGAGTGCAGAGAGTCAGTAGCCTGTCGATAGTGTCTAATAGCCTTGCTAACAAATAGATCTTAATAGACTTGGTAATAAACTATTTGAAGAATAAACCTTTTCCAGTTGTCCTGCCCTTTTTGTACAGCAGAAGCCCAGACTGACTTTATAGACTCACCAGACTTTCACTCGTCAAAGTAGAAGCAACGGGTCTACAAGCACTTTAATCGTTTTGCCTAACAATCAAGCTTAGATGTTTAGATTGTTTTTAGCTTTTATGCTTCTACTATAGCCCTAACTTTAAGAGGGACCATCTCCAGCTGCTGGAAAGGTGCAAGCTAAGAGTAGGACACAAAACAAGAGACACAGCTGCATCGTGCCTGGATGCAGAGTTAGATGAAAAGCGCCCCAGAAATCGCCAAGATCTTTAGCTTATGCAGGGAACCACTGCTGAGATGGAGAAGGTGTTCGCACCAGCTCTGCTACAGGACATGCAGGTGGTCTGCTTGTAGAAAGTCCATACTCAGCAAGTATGGGTGAGTATGGACTTTCTTTAGCAACTAATCACTAAAGCACGTCCTCGCATCCGCAGAACCCGTACATCTTCAGACACAGCTGCCTACCTCCTTCCCGACCCTGCTGGAGCAGCAGGCAGGGAGAGCTTCTGGGCTGCCCCGTCCCTGGCACCACCACCCAGCAGCCGGGCCCCAGCCGGCCTCCAGCGTGCTGCTCCGGCACCGCACCAGGCTGCACCTCCCGCACCACAGCTGCCACCTTTGGCACCAGGGCTGGGCTTTCCCACCTTCCCCCCCTGCAGCCTGGCGCAGCGGCTGGGCTGGTCCCCTGGGCCGGCCTCTCTCCTTGCTGCAACCCCCGGCTGCCGATGCCCGTGCTGGGAGCAGCCCTTGCCATGGCCACGCCAATGCCACCCTATGGCCAAAGCCCAACAGCCCCGCGTTGTCCCACCTGCACCACCAACGCTGCAGCTCCAGGTGATGGGCCTGGACCCAGCGTGGCACATAGTAGTTAGGGTAGGGATAGTCACCACAGAGTGAATCAAGCCTAATAGCATTAGAAATAAATAGGGTCTAATAGAGTTAGTAAGAAATAGAGTCTAATGGAGTTAGTAATATAGAGAGTCTAATAGATTTTATAATAAATAGAGCCTAATTGAGTTAGTAATAAATGGAGCCTAACAGAGTTGGAAATAAACTATTGAACAATAAACCTTTTCCAGTTGTCCTGTCCTGTTTGTACAGTGGAAACCCAGATCGAGTTTTTATTTCACTAAAGTAGAAGCAAGTGGTCCACAAGCAATTTAATGATTTTCCGTAACAGTTAAGCTCTAGATTCTTAGCATTACTGAGTAAAAGATGGATAATGTTTACATGATGTATGCACTGAGTATGTTCCTCCTAATGGCAACTTTTGAGCAAAAGGGGTATGCTATCAAAAATTGTGGAGACTACAGCTCTAAGGAATAAGATTTAAACAATTGTCCTGGTTATTTAAGGACATTCTTTCATAAGTTTGTATCAAAACCATGTGTGATTGCCCTTTTTAAGATGACACCCTTCAGAGAAGGCAAGGGGATTACTCAGAGGCAGGTCCTGACCAGTATAGCTGTGTATAAGCAAGCAAAGGGGATGGAGGGAGAGTCATTTGGCTGCTTTTTGGATGGGAAAGCATCATCTTGGTAGTCGTAGTAACAAAGACCATAAGCACAACTTGCAACCATCTGACCCCAGGCTATGACTTGCCCTTCTCAGAGCGCACCAGGGCCGGGCGTGGGCAGGGCTGAGCAGAGATCCTGCAGGAGAACGTGAGCCCTTCAGGAAGTGGTGTCTGACTCAACGGTGAGGCAGCATGCAAGTACAGCATTAGGGCACTGCACTATTTTAGGGACAAGGTCTTGGACTTTATGTAACATGTACAGCCCAAACTAGAGTCATTACCAAAGACTTTGTAGCTGCTCTTGGGAAAAGGCCTATTCCCAGTGATCTGATGATAGGCAAATAGCTACTGTTTATTCTTCCAGAGCTTAGTCACTTTGGAAGTTTGAGCAAGAAGCGAGTGTTCTTCATTTCCCATCCTGATAAACCAGGATATAATTTCTTCAGTGACCACTTTGAATATGAAGTGTTATTTAAGTGCAGGATCTTACCTATGCACAGTCACAAAAATATTGGCTTCTTAGCAGGCTTTGCCCCACATCATGCCAACTCGCCCAATCTTGCTTTCTCTGTTGTAGCCTGTTCCAAAGGGAGAGAGCAGAAGACTCACGCTACTTTGCTTACCAACTAAAAGCCCTGTAAATAGATGAGTGCTTCATTTGCATGCACGTATATCTGATAACAGCATGTAAGGCAAGCTGGGGGGGGGGGGGGGGGGGGGCCGGGGGGGGGGGGGGAGCAGCTCATTTTTTTTTCCTTATGAGGTAGGACCGAGTCTCCACAAAGTGGTTGCGGGATGGAAAAGGTCACCTCCTGTGCACAGGCACAATATAAGCCTTGGACCTGAAATGCATTCATTCTGGGTGTTTGATCTGAGATATCACAAGGGATCTTTTTCTCTGGTGTTATGTTGTTCCACTCCCTCAAGATTGGTAGCCTCCCAGACACTAGAAAATAGACTCAAACTCATTAGTCCCTTCCCTGATCTGTGAGTCCCCACTATCACTGAACACATACCCTGATGCCTCCAAATGCAAGTTAGTCTCACTGTCATGCTAACTAGCTTCTCCGTGAAATATTCTAACAGGCACGTAACCGTCAGTCTCAGTAGCTTAGCTAGAAGTCCATATTTGATTTTAAAAGAACCACCTGCATGTTGTACAGAAAAGTTGCTGTTATCTCTTACAGTCAGAGACTAGGGGTGGGGGGGAAGACTTTGAAGTTTTCCTTTAAGTGATAGCTTTCACCCATATCTTCAGCCTTTAAAAAAAAAAAAAAAATCTGTTCAAGGGAGAAATACTACAGCCAGTGTGTCCAAAGGACTTTGCTTCTATAAAGGCCAGTCAAGTCCAACCAAAAGATCTTTTTCAACTTCAGTGGTGGCTGGATTGGGCCCTCAAACTGCAGCAGTTCAAAGCAACGGACACCAACAGAACAAACTAAGGTGTCATTATTGTTGTTGAAGTTGTAAGCAGATTTTTAATGATTTGGAAGACTACTATTGTTAACAGCTTAGTTACATTGTAAGAATCATCAAAAAGACATTTAGGTAAATTTCCTGCACACTGATACTGATCAGAACAGCCTTTAGATCACAGCCCCATTTCCTATAAGCATATATAAATGCGTAGAGAAGAGCACTGTCATGATTCAGTGACTGTTTATATCAAACTGCCCAGGTAAGTACTGACTTTTCAGAAGGATCCAATGAAAAACAAAGCCAAATGGCAAATATTTGGGAAATATGGGTATTTAGAAATTAGATTACAACATCCATGTCAGAAATATCTAGAGCTGGAAAAGAGTCAGGCAAATTGCAACATCAATTCTACCAAGCAACCCTTCCTCTCCAAACTCACTTTGATGTTCTAGTCAAATATTTCAGACTGCAGATCAAACCCAACTCTGGCAGAAGCGTTTTTATGAAGAATTTCAGGAGTCAAGGACTTGGGGTTTTGGTTCTGTAGACCAATAAGCAGGTTTTCAAAATAATAACCACCACAGCTATAGAGCAGAGAGCACACATAACACTGCCACTGCATTCCTCTCCTGACCAGCTCTGGGCTCTGTGCGGGAGGGAGCGCTGTGCTTCGTATGGGAAACTTCAGAAGAACACATACTCGCCTTGACAGTCTCTTACAATTTGTAAAATTTTCTCCCTTTCCTAGCACTACCAGAAAGACCGAATTAATGTTTAAACTACATAAATATATTCTCACAACTGCAGGTTCCTGGTGCCTGTGGGTGCTTTCAAGCATTCACATCAGCCAGCACAGCAAGTTTCTACAGCTATGGCTCAGAAAGAATTGTTTTGCACTAGAGAAAAAGCTAGACTGGCAGCTTTGCAGCTTCTTCCAACTGGAAAGGAGTTGCTGTCTTCCCAAAGACATCCTCCCAACTCTGCCAGGACAGTCTTTGTGAAAGAAAGAAGAGCTTTCTTCAATGGATACTACAAAAAGAAAAATACTAAAGAAGCAGAACTTCCACACAAATCTCCAAAGGATAACACTGTCTTACGGGGCAGACACTACTCTTTCTCCAAAAATGCACACATAGCTTAGCTTTTTCCTCTCCCTGGAACAGCTAGGCCGGGAACATCGTGTACCTTCACCCTGACCTCCTCAAGGTGCACAACTTAGGAGGTGACCTTGCTTCGAAGGGCAGGTCTAACTGTCTGAAGCTGGATGCTTGCAATCATAGCAGAACATTGCAGAGCAAACCTTGCACCAGTTTTGCCACTAAAGGGCAACAGCCCATGACTGAACACTTTAAAGGCTGTGGGGAGCTCAAGGACTGGAATTTGATTACTGTGAGGGCTAGGAACCCACCAGGAGCGTTTAATTTCCATGAGGTTAACATCTCTGACAGAGAAGAACCTGAACTGACCAAAAGTTAACAGAGAAATTGATTGTTCAAGGTACAAGGATGGTATGGTAGAAATGGGGCCTGGAAAAAGCAAGTGTTTGCTCTGCTTGGAAGACAGGATACCACCCTGCGGGGGTACCACAGTACCTCATGCACTCAGGTCTAGTATTTCCAGAGTATATCAGCACTATCCCACAAGGATTTCCTCACTCTTGAGATAATACGTTGCAGTGTGTGACAGCCTACGCCTGGATTTCTCCGCAGCACGTCCCAGGCCCTGCTATGGAAAACCAAGGGCTTATAAAGGAGAACAGAAATATTGACACCTTTTCAGTTCTCCTACACTGTTGCAGATACACCATTTGCAGAGCTTTTCTCACAGATGAATTAACTACCTTGTGCGGTACACCTCCTGTCACTCACTCTGAAAAACAGGCAGGAGAAACAGAAGATAAGGGACTGTGTGTGAAAGGATATGAAACACCACGGTCAGAATGAGAGGGGGAGGTCTGAGGAGCAGGGATTCAGAGCCGAAGGCTCTGCTTCTGTCATGGATTCACCCTGGGGCCTTGGGCAACGTACTTTGCTCCTGTCCCCAGCTAAGGTCAGGTAAAGCTCTCCATATGACCCAGGCCAGAAGCAAAACACTTAAAGGAAAGCAAGGGAGAAAGACTGGCTTTTCTGAGAAGCAGCCACAACACCATTTCCAAGATACTGAGAACCTCAGGTGAATGGAGTTCTACCTCTGTATATACTTATCTCATTTAGTCCTAAGATAAACAACAGGAAGCGTAAATAACTTTATG